GAATAATAGTCATAGAAAGCTTTAAAAAAAGTTCTTACATACGAGTGCCTCATGCTCATTATCTTACATTGGGGGGTTAATTGATATCCAACAACTTATATAGGGTCAGTTTGAATTAATATCTTATACTTACATCAGTTGATTATAAATTAATTCTACCAAAATTAAAATAGTTTTGTAAGAAAATTGGTGTATAAATTAGAGCATTTTAAAGGGAGTTGAATGGCTCAAGTATATGTAACAATTGAATCTTGTATATTTAGTTAAGAGTGCTTATTGGTTAACATGGCTCTCTGTATTAGGCATTTTATTAATATAGTTTTAATTTTTCATAATATTATATATTAATACTAACACAATTATTAATCTTAAATAGTGTCTAGTAGATTTTATTTATTGTCAAAGATTTTTTTGTGCTATGTTTATCCTGAAATCTCCTTCTATATTGGATAAATAATGAATTATTAGCTTATCACTTGATATCAGATTAGCCACTCAGAATTTTCATCAATATTTAATTAGTTGTATATATAAAAAAAATATATAATTTTTGACATTTTCTGTTTTTATTAAAGATTATATTAGTTATTTTAATGAAAGAATCACAAAATGTATGTGTTTAGTTTATAACATCTTTTTTTGTTACTATTGATTAAGACTAATGAAATAGTTTTTTATGTGAATAAATCAATAATTTAGATTCAAAATAACGATAGTATTTTTTCCGTAATGTTTTTTTGCACCAAGTGTGACTCCTACTTAATTGTACTATAACTAATAGATTTAATGTAAGCCATGGAGTTACATCTTGACCTCACTATAGATTTTAGCCAAGCCTATATATAGAGGTTAGGGAGAGAAACTTCTATGTCTCTGAATATTCTTGTTGATTAAAAATTATAGTATTCTATAAAGGGAGGCTCTAGGAAAATGCCAATAACAAATGTTTTGTCAATAGATTACTAAATTATATCATATGTTGCATTATGTCTATATATATGTCAAATTAGTAAACCCTATTTATATAGGAGATGGCCAAAGTTCATGACACACTACAGGAATTTTTGAAATTTGCGTCCGACATATAAGACACAAATCGGAAGTAAATCTGACGGTATTTAAGGGTTATCGTTTGATTTGCGTCGAATTTATGTCTTATTTTTTTCGCGGGTAAAACAGGGAATGGTAATATAATTTTCGTTTGTTTAGCGTCAAAAAAATCTGATGCAAATTTTTTTCGTCTTAATTGTGTCCACCCTATGTCGCTTAGTTGAGACTATTTCTGCTTTTAAATTTGCATTGAAAAAAATTGGACAGTAACATTAGCATCGATGTAGCCTTGGGTTAACATCAAAAAAAATATCAAAGAATGCCAGATAAAATTGTTATTTTACGGTCGCTTTTTTGGACGCAAATAGATGCAAACCTGTATCATGGAAAAAAATGTACATAACTGTTACATTTCCACAACATGCACAATACATTGAATCCACAATGCAGCAATACTTTATACGTCACAAATAATCAACATTAACACAGATTTTAGCTCCAGTAAATATCAAAAGTGCGAAGTCATAGAATGTATGCACAACTGACGAATCTCTTCATTCATCACAGTAACCTGCCTGACTATAGCATCTTGGAATGGTTGTGAGAAGCTCGGGGAACTCAGTACAACACCATTAGAGATCTTGGTCACGAAGGTTATGCCCTTCATACCAATGTCATAAACCTTCCCCTTCTTCTTCTGCACTGCCTAAGTCCAAAGCTCAAACTCCGACTGCGTAGTGGTAGAACGACTACCTCAGCTGCTGATGGAAGTGTCTAGTTGGATGGCCAAGTGCCTCTCTTGGAGCTGCTCAAACTTCTCCTACAAAATTAAAATCAATGTTTAATTGGAACTTTGAATAGTAAGAGTTAAAATAAAGTGTTAAATTTCTTTTTTTTTTCCTTACGACAACCCATCGAGAATGCTTTGAGACTCACTGCTGCGTCCTCGGGCGCTGATGAGTTCAAACCCACTCCCGGGAGGTGGAGTTGAACTCTCAACCCTGTTTTTTAAAAAATGCATCTCTGTTCCTTCTAATGGGTGATCACGATGAAGAAATCTTTGATAGCAGTTGAACCAACTGTTTTTCCTTTCATGTTTTAGATTAAATGACTTTGACATATCAATGCAGTAAGGACAAGCCATTTTCCTGGCAGTGCTCCAACCAATTAGCATCCCATAGGCAGGGAAATCACTATTTGTCCACAAAAGTGACACTCTCAATTGAAATTTGTATTTCGTAGCGATGTCATATGTAAGCACACATTTCTCTCATAGCATTCGAAGCTCTTCAATCAAAGGCTGTAAGTACACATCAATTTTATCTTTGGGGTCATGTGGACCTGGTATGAACAATGTCATAATTAAGAATGGCATGATCATGCACATATCGGAGTGGGGGGGGGGGGGTAAAATTATGATCAATGGCCAGCATGATTATAGGGTTATAACATGATTGTATCGGGTAAAGCCATATGCACATAACCCAAGTCTAACATTGCGTGCTTCAACAACAATCTGAGTATGTAGCAAAAATTAGATTTGATGCTTAACATTCACAGCGCAACTAATGACTCTGTAGCAATCGTTTTATAAAGGTTGTCGTGCGGTGTTTAGTAAAACTACTGCAATTCATTGTTTGGTGTTTCACTTTTATCGGGAACACTCTCAACAAAATGAGGTATTTGAGCATCATGTATCATTTCTTTGCACGTACCAGAATCATGTTCTTGTTGAGGTACCTTGATCGTATTGAACATCTAGTTCTTGCACACCATGTTCAATCTAGTACCAAAACGTTGGTTTGAATTACTTGCGGTAAAGATCCAATTTAACTTCTTTGGGTCACAGATACACATGATTTTTGTGTTTCACACAAGACAACAAAACTTACCTTCTAAATGATAAATGGGTCGTCGTGATGCAACCTGCACAAATTACTCAACATTATCAAAAACTCATATAGTCGTCCTTTTTGTCCTAGATATGATTTTGTATACATCCAAGTTCTCAAATTACAAATTTACATCTATAACACAAATCAATAAAACTATTACGCAAAATAAAAATAAGTCGATACTTACAGTAAGAAGTCGACATTACTTGGTCAACCATATTTAAGACACCACTATGAAGTGGTTTATTCTTTAAAGAATAGGCCTAATGCATTCCTTCACTTCAAACAACCAACATGAATTCTTCTA